TTATAGGCTTTATTTTTTTTAAAAGGTGTCTTAGTGAAATGAGTTAGCATGCAAACACTTCATAATTAGATGACAGCAAGTGATGTTGGATTTTAATTAATCAAACTTATAAGCGTTTGCAAAATAACTCAAATAACTTGTTTCTCTGCAGTCCATGTGGAACCTGAACTGCTCCACACCTACTTCAAGTACTTCAAGCATGATGTCCTCCTGTTGGTGGTTCGTCTGGCTGTACTGGCTGCTGTCACACTCACAGTCCCTGTGGTGCTCTTCCCTGTAAGTGTCTAAGCTTTACTATCAGTTATAGTCAACCAAGACCATGAAGTCCAGTGAACTAATTTTGGTTTGTTTCTGAACAGATTCGTACCTCCATCAGCCACCTGCTGTTCTCAACCAAGGACTTCAGCTGGATCCGACACATTATTATCACTGTAATCCTGCTTGCAGGAACCAACACTCTGGTCATCTTTGTCCCCAGCATCAGAGATATCTTTGGCTTCATCGGTTAGTACCTGCATATATCTATAAGATTTAGTGTCTTGATAGCGAAGCATTATTGACCTCATGTGTTTAACTTTACCATTTGTCTTGTTTTCAGGTGCCTCTGCTGCTGCAATGCTCATCTTCATCCTGCCCTCAGCTTTCTATATCAAACTTGTCAAGAAGGAGTCAATGATGTCAATGCAAAAGATTGGGGTAAGTGTTAATAAGACCAACATAATGCAACAACTTTGAACCTATATTTTCTATGCCCGCATCAAAGCTTACTTTTTTTTTAAAACTACATAGATATAGTGGTTTCACTTCGTATTAATAGTTTATTTATTTCCTCCTGCAGGCCGTATTGTTCCTGATATTAGGATTCTTTGTCATGTTTGGCTGCATCACTCTGATCCTAATGGACTGGATCTCCAACAGTGAGGTCGCCGATCAGGGTCACTGATGCTCCAGCTCTTCTGCTGGCAGAGGGGAAGCTCTCAGAGCTAGACTGCTAAAAAAAAATTACACACAACAAAGAAAAACAAAGTTTGATGAACAAAACAAACCACAAAGACTCACTTAATGCTCGTCTTGGACCTACCGAGCATTGGATCACACCATTCCATGAGAATGTATCTGAACTCTGTACATTATGCTGTTCTAGACCACAAAGATGGCATTTCTCTCTTTTTCTTGTAATATTTTAAATAGTCTTTTACTTTTTACTTTTTTTTATTTTTATTACTATTATTATCGTTGTGGTACAGCTGTAAACAAAACGCCGCAGGCCAGAGACTGGAAGAGAGTTTAAAACACGGCTTACGCTCAGGTACAGTGTTATTTGTGGGAGAGCGTAGCTGTGAACTCTTTAACTTAGCGAGAACATCCCGCTGAAATATGTACATGAATCTCCCAAAGACTAACACGGGGCCACATGACTTGAAACTTCATGGACAATTTGCTTTGGTTTAACCTTTGTGTTTTCTTTTTGTCTAACTTTACCAAAAAAAATAATGTGTCTGAAAAACATCTTTGTGTATCGAAGAGCACTTATAGCTGAGCTCATTTGTCAAGATTTCACTCAAACGGCACCTATCCAGTATTTTTTTTTACCAAGGTCCTGTGATTTTAATCAAAGTGTCAGCTAGCGAATCTGTGAACAAAACCAGACACTGGGAGATCTGTATTAGATCTCATGTGAAGGGCATGTGCAGCAACAACACTACTGCTTTCAAGGAGGCCGGCAAGCCTTCCGGTTCCATCTTCCCTGCAGAGCAGATTCACGGAGGGGAACCCAGAATGTTTTTTTCTTTATGGGAGAATACTCTGAATGTGACCACATGCAGTGGTTGTCATATATATATACCTGTTACACTTGCAAAACCGCAACAGCTTCAACTGTATGAAGTCAGGTGCACTCCGAAACACCAACAAGTAACCAAGAAAAGACCCTGAATTCTTCAGTGTTTCATTTCATCGCACAACAGTGTTTCACAATGAAGAACACGGCAGCCCGGCATGTATCCAATTCCCACCGTGTCATAGACCGGGCATCAGAGGGTGCACTGTGCTTCCAACACTAACACATCACCAAACTGTGTGTCATCTATTTATGGAAGACCATTAAAGAAGTGTAATTTAAACTATTTTAGTATATATTTATACAATATTGTATGTACATATGTATGTATATGTATATATATCTTCTTTTTTTAAAGAATTTTTTGTTTAAAACCTTTATAGAACAATTTCTTGGAGTCAAAAACCAAATGTAATGATAGTGTAAAGAGTTTGCTCTAGAACATCTGAGCTTTATCCGTTCATCTCTGTAAAACCTCACTAAATGAATTCGAACTTGTAAGCATTCAGTGTAGAAATGGCACAAATTGAGCCACTTTTTAAAAAAATTTTAAGCCCCTAAAGACAAAACAAATACGTTCTTTTTGGTCAAACACAGAACGGACACTGGCTATCAGTTTTACACAATTGTTTCAATGAAACACTATGTACATACTGTAAATAATGACCCAATAAAATGATTATGAACTAGAAACATGACTCTTTGTGTCAATTGTACTTTCTCTTACCCTTGTTTAAAAACATGATAAATAGTCTGGTACTGGTATAGATCCTTTACGTGTTCAGCCTTGCATAGATTATATTTCAGAAGACTTTTCCTACTTTGATGATTACTTTTATGCACAGCTTTACACCCCTTTTGGACTTTATCACCTGGTACCGAGTAAATATTTAAGTTTCTTTCAACATTGTATTTCCAGCGTGAGATTACCTCTGGCCTTGATAATCTTCCCTTCTTCTTTAAATTCGCCTTTTTTTCCAGGAGCCAATCAGAAACTGTCAGACATTAGTACATAAACTGTACTAATCAGAAAACCTTCCTGAGTGTCACAGTGATAGAGAGAATGATCTCGGAAAAATGTTGCACCATTTTTATGAACATTATCTGTTATGTGGAGTAATTTTGGTGATTCTCTCCTAGAATCATGTTAAATATGTTCACCAACTCTAACCAACTTCTGAATTATTCCAAAATATATGTAATCAACTGTTGCTTAATGGTTCATTACAGTCTCCAAACAAATCTTAGTTCTTATACTGGATGTATATTTTACCAGAGGGACCCAAATACCATACCCTGTGGTACTCCATAAATAGCTGTTCTGTTTAATGAAGCGTATTGTTTAACACCAGCTTTTGAATAGCTGCTTTTTAAGAAAAAAAAGATAAGATTGTTGTATATTGATCTATAAAAGGCTAGATTGGCTGAATGTGCCCTAATGGGCTTGGTGATTGTCTTGGAATTAGAAAGTTGTATGTTCTAACACATTTGTACACAAAGATACATTCATGCCATCTAAATTGTGGTATTAACTAAAGTAAAAGTTTACTTTTTATACTATTTATGTTATTTATGGTTTATGCTGCTTTTGTTTTGTTTTTGTTTTTTTTAAAGGAACCTATTAAGTCATTCTATTTTATATGCACAATGTTGTCTAAGTCATTTTAATCTGAATATTTTAACTCATGCATTACTTGTTTCTTTCCTGATACAAATCTTTCATTTTTTTAATGAACATTTCCACTTTATGAAATGAAAATGTTCCTTTTCACTGCTAAGCTGCTGCTCATTCACTGTCTAGAGCTGTATAAATGAAATTTATTTTTGACAGTAACATTTAATTTTGACTATGTGAGGGATCAGACTCTTTATAGATCAAGAGGAGATGAAGGTTAAACAATGTCAGCCTTCCACTGTGGCTTTAAAAGCACAGAAGGATGGACCAATATGATATAGAAGCATATTTTCAGTGCTCCATAGACATCTACTCGCTTACTGATGGGGACCTCTAGTGGCTAAAGGTGGTTACAACTCAATAAAAATAGATGATATGTGTTTCTTAAAATTTTTTTATTTTATTTAATATTCCAGCACTACCCTTCTTCTTTTGATCAGTCTTTTGTTTCTCCTGGGTCACAGAAGCAGTGGCAGAGAAGCACTTGGGGAAAAATCTTGCACTAGGGGTGTGTTTAAATTCAGGGGCTACATCTTTCTAAGGACACAGCCCATGTATGCCAGATCCTTCAAAGAACTTGAAAGGTGAAGGCTGAAAGTGATATGCTGTGAATTGGGACAGTCCAGCCTTCAGCAGGATTCCCACATCATTGTTATAGCTAACCGAACAGAAAATATTAAGTGCACAAAATGCCATATGACAAAAGTTAAGGTAACACCTGTATAAATGAATAATAATAAAATAAAGGATAAGTAGTTTGATATTGATAGTTTTTATATTTTTCAAAGAGCTGGAGAAAATAGATCGAAAATGAATTGATCCCGACTGTTTGCTCCAGTTTTTGGTTTACTGTATTTCATCCTTACAGAGCTTAAGCAGTTGTACCATGGATGCAGACGTGAAGATGAGCTGCAGTGAATAAAGCTATCTTATTCACAGGCTTAACTTTAATTTCAGCAAAGATTCACATAATAACAAATAAAAGCCTTAAATAAGCAAATATGAGTATTTCAATATTATCTGAATGGGTTGAATGCTCACAGCATGGAATAATGCTCCCATTCAACAAGGAACTGCTGGCCACAACCCTCATGTCGATGATACGAAGGAATGTAAAGGAAGGATGATCATCAACAAAGCATGCAGGTTGAGGGAGCTCAGAAGGAGGGAAAAAGTGCATTGAAAAGGACGGGTTTAATCTGGGAAAGATGAACTACTAGGAGGACAAGGAGGTAAGAGTGGAGATGGAGAGTAGATGACAGATTCAATGGTGTATAGACTGAGAAATCTGGGGTAGAAATTGTTACTCTAGGCTTTGAGGGGAAAGCTTTTAGAAGAAAACCAAACCTTCGCTCCTACCAGGTAAGTGGAAGAAGGATTGTGTTTGCAGTCTGCAGATTCTGTTTTGAGTTGAGGTATGCTGGAGAGCCGCCTGGTTCTGGTTCCTCACTTCAAACAGGTTTGGATACGAGGACTGAGGGAATAATGGATTCTGGAAAGGAGCAGGGAAGAGAGGGGGTTGGTACCCTAAGGAAGCTCCAAAGGAAGAGAGACAGGTGGTGGAAGAGAAAGATGAGCACTCCAGGTGGTAGTCTTGCAGACACAGAGAAGATGCAGACACAGTGAAGAGTATTTCCATTAGTTTGTGGATAATAACCGGAGAATAAACATGGTTTGGCTCCAAGAGAGGACCCGATGTGCTGCTGAGACAAAGTCTAGAATGGAGAACACAATAAAGGTTAGTAAGCATCTGCAGGTGCAAACCTAAAATACATACAAAGTATGTGTGCGTATAATAGTATTATAGAGCATTTGTCAAAAAGTTTGAAAAGAGAGAAAAATCAGGTATATTCAATATCGAAAGTTGAGCTACATCAGTTTATTTTTTAAGTTTATTTTTTATACATCATGTGTATTGTTACTTTATCAGTTTCTTATACGGACAGCTAAGCATCCACTTGATGCAACACATAGACCCATGAGGTAAAAGAAGCAGGAGATGACGTTGTTCGGGGCTCAACTTTGCCGGACACTCGCGGACGTGATTTTTGAGCCCACAGCTGTGCAAATTCCAAGTATTTTCTCTGTCCTGTAACGACATGATCTGGAATAAACCCTGTTACTTTTTTACTCCTGTTTTTATAGTCCTTTTTTATATGGTTTTACCCAATTTGAGTTAAGAGTAGTAAATAACTTGCTCCCAGGAAAAGAACCGGAAGGGAAGTCCCGAGGCGCAACTGCCTTCAAGGGGACATAACTTCCTCCTTTAACATTAATATATATTCATTTCAGCTAAAATGTTTTCATAGAACAAAAGAATATGACCACTTACGTACCTAATTAAAGAAAACAAGAAAAAACTGCAATGGCCATAGTGATGCAAAAAAAAAAAACAATATATATAAAACATGGCTGACGGGGTGTGGGAAGAAGCAAACCCCACCCCCATTTCCAATATGAATTGCTAAAATTGTGCTTCCTTCAAAATTCAATATGCCCTTCCTTAGCTTCTTAAAAAATACATACATAAAGTTAGTACATAGGGCTTTGTTGAAATAAGATTGTAAAACTGATAGACAGTGTCCTTTCTGTGTTTGTCCATAAAAGAATGTCTTGTATATTTATGTTTGTTTAGGGGCTCAATTCTTTTTTCAAAGTGGCTTAATTTTTGACATTTCTACTCTGAATGCTTATTCACAGATATTTGTACAGAGAAAAATATATAAAGCTGACATGTTCTAGTGCAGTTCAGAATTGTTGTAACACTTTGCTTTGCTCTTCCAACACATTTTAATCTTTCAAGACATTTCTCTTTCCTATGGAAACAAGCTTGTAAGCATAGAGTAGAATAGAATAGACACTCCCTTTATTGTCCCGCAATGGGGAAATTCTGGTGTTTACAGTAGCAAAAAGATTGTAAAAGAATATGGTCACACAAATATGGAGCTTAGAAAAATATATAAGAATAAAATAATGGTGAGTTAAAAGATAAACAGTAAAATCCCAAGAACTTAGTGAGCAAGGGATGGCTGATTACAGATAAAAATTAAGAATAAAAGTTAAATATTAAGTTTGAAAAGTGAATATTTAATTTGCGAAATTGATGTTTATCCTGACTGAAATATTTAGATCGGAACTAAATATTTATTTGAAAGCTTAATATTTAGTTTGTTAAATAGATATTTAGTTAGGTGCTAAAAATTCTGCTTGCTAAAGAAGTATTTATTTAACAAGTTTAATATTTCATTTTTAATTATATATATAACTTTCTAAGTAATTTTTCTAGTTGAAAATGTGATTTTTATCAAAATAAATGATGATGGGGATTTTTTTCCCCTCATGTTTGAAGCTAAATAATCCCAAGCATTACTTCGAACATTTAACAAGATAACTTTACAAAAGGGTACCCAAAAATACAGCATCAGAAAACCAAGTAGAGTTTTGACTTTTTGTGTATGCCCTGATTTGCAATATACATTAGCTCTGGGAATCAATATACCAAAGCCAGATGATAGCCCAACAGACTTGCTTTCACAAGCAGACCATTTTGACTGTTGCCATAAGGTTCTGCTTGGTACTTGTATATGAAATTTTATCGAAAATTATTTTACGAGTAAAATCAAATGCAACGCACATGGTGACAGACAGGGTAGGTGAGAATGAAAAAGGGTATAAGATCAAAGGGAGAAGAGAGATTTCGGAAAGAAAGCGTGGGGAGCGTGCAGGACTAAGAAAGAAAGCATGAAAAAAGATAAAATAAAACAAAACAACAAAAGTAGAAACAGAAAGATATACAATAACTCTTAGGAATCTGCTTCCACACCTGTATAAGACGAGAGGGAAAGAAAATGGAACATAATAACAGCAAAAAGAAGACAACAGACATCCAAAGTAAACGTCAAGAAAAAACTTTAAGAGCAGATGTCATCACTTTGATATTAATGTGTGTCGAAGTCAAAACCTATGGTGATTACAAAGTATTAATCAGGGTGGTATATATATATATATATATATATATATATATATATATATATATATATATATATATATATATATATATATATATATATATATATATATATATATATATATATATATATATATATATGTAGTTGCAGCTTAGTATTTAGTGTATCCGTGGACACCTGGAACCAAATTCCTATGGTATCTATGCATGGGGATGCTCATGCATACATTTACAAAGCTTCTTCAGTAGGAAATATTCCAAAAAGCAGGTGTGAGTGCCCCCAGGCAAGCCCTACAGGGCCCAGGACCAATACCTGAAGGGCCAAACCCCAAAGGGACCCAGATACAAAATACATTAAAAGATGTACATGTGCCTGATGCTGATGTTCTTCCTTTAGTAGAAGGCCTCAAAAATTATTTATTTCGAAAAAACAAGGGATCTCCAGTAGTTTCTTCACATTAATCAGATAAACTTTTATTACTGTTATGCCATAAAGTCTGCCAAACGTTGATCTACAAATGAGGGAGCAACGAGAAGCAGAAGAACTTTCACCCAGTAAATGTGTATGTGGTGTTGAGAGTTTTTTTTTCTCAGTGGTTTATGAATGAAAGTGAAACTTGTAAGGCAACTACAAAACAGGTTTTAATTAATTTTTAACGTCTTAATTTTTTAAGACGTTTCGACACCTATCCAGGAATCTTTGTCAATTATGTCAGCTCGCACCAGATCAATCTGATGGAGGTCCATCCTGCTAAGCACATTTCTAGTCAGATGCAAATCAAATTGCCACCTCTTTTTCTTCTGTATGTTGTGGTAGAGTTTGGGAACTATACCCTCATGTTGGTGTGAGAGTATGAAGGTATTTCCAGAAAGCTTGCAGTGTACAGGAACCTCCTCTGTTATGTGATATGAATCTGACTTGGAATGTGCTTAGGCGAAGGGCAACTTGTGTAAATGCAAAACACATTTTGTTTTCAGTTTAAACAAGTTGCCTTTTTATATTATTCTTTCCTTTGTTCTATTCTTGTAGCATTAATATAAGAAAATATCAAATAGGGTAATATCAGATATACTAAAAGATCACATACCTCTCTCATGGGAGAAATCAGTCCTGGAAGAGAAACAATGCAGCAACATTACAGACACAAACCACTCTCAGAGTCAGAGGCAAAAAATATATAGTAAAACACCAGTATAAAAAATAAATAGAACATCTATCAGTTTACATAAACTATATCATCTTCATCATTCGAGCCTCTTGTTTCTCTGCTTAGGTTCAACTAGGTGTCCATTGATAAGGTTGATTGAGAATACATATTCTCATATATTGTATATGTGAGTATTCTGGGCCAGCCTACTTGTAGTAAAGGTAAGTAAAAATAAATACATTATCAATGCTACATATGTATATATATAAATACATATAATAAAGAAATGTAAATGTGCATAATTGAAGCCCTGATAATTCCACACAAGGCTATGAAATCTCTGTAAATGAATATGCTGGTGTTCATTCGTAGAAATGGCTTTGAAGACAAAGAAGAAAACTCTTAAATGTTCGTGGATCAAGGTTCTGCTGACTGAGATCTGAGCAGCAGAATTAATCCATCCCTTTTCCATCACGCTTATCCCAAGTGGGGTCCAAGGGGTGCTGGTGCCTATCTCCAGCTGTCTGCTGAAACAATCCGGGCTGGAAATCGAACTCCGAACCTTCTTGCTGCAAGACAGCATTGCTACTCAGTGCGCCACTGAGCAAAAATAAAAATAAAATAAAAAAAAAACAATTAAAAAAGAAAAGGCATTTGATCTGAAAACATGCAGCAAAAATGCCAATGTTAATTTAACATACACTGTGTTAATTTTAATACCAATGTCAATCTAGCTAATGTGTCCACATTTAATAATTTTATGAAACAATAAATTTATGAAACAAATACAAGTGAAGTCAGACTGGATGAAATATATACATGCAGTTATATATTCCGCAAATAATTAATATGATAAACACAAAGTTTTATATTAAATTGTTATCATATTATATAATACAAATATGATATACATATTTAAATCGTATATTATTCCTATTCAGGATTTTTTAAGGATTGTACTGTGATAATGAGTATTATGATCTATAAAAGAAAATTTGCTATAATGTGATTCACTAAAGAGAGAACATATATTATGTAGTATTTTGATTAATTTTAGTTTCATTGTTATCGTCAAGAATGTTTGTCAGATCAGTGTAAACAGTGAATTGTTATTGTTTCAAACTAAACGGTCTTTGTCCTGATAAGTTTCAGTTCTTATAAATCTTAAGTGTTTCAATATTTTTTACCTAAATGTGAACATTCGTTCTTTAATTTCTGTTAATGTGTATTATATAAATTATATAAATGTGTGTTACATAAGACATGTTTGAAAACCAAAAATAAAAAAGGATGAACCCAGTGTGTCTGATTTAGACCGGGGGAACAAATTATAACAGGAACAGACAGTCTGATAAAATCTACAGCAAACAGTATGGTTGATGTAGTTCAAGCCTAGTGTTTAATCATAATCTTAAAAATGTGTATATTCCTATGCTGGATGTGTAGAGTAGATAGGAATACCAGTTCTGGAAGTATGGAATTAAATAAAAAGCCTGATGTTGGAAAAAAGAAACTTTGTTAATTAAGGATCAGTGAAAATAGAGAAATTATAAGTGAATATAAAACACATATATAGATTTAATTACTAAATTTGACCTAGGAAAAAGTTATATTCTCAATGGGAGTAGCCTATAATAAGCACATGTAATAAGTACACATACACAAAATAGTACACTCCATTTACTATTTCATTTTTATAACAAGAATATGGTTGACAACAGTTTTCAGTGAGATGAGAACATTTAAAAGACGAGAGATTTTTTAAAGTAACGTGTTGAAACGAGTAGCTGTTTATGAAGATGATTTTGTTTCAAACTGCTTGTGCATTGTAAGTGTGAATTTGAAGTTGTTGAAAGAGTTATGTTCTAAGTTTTGTATTTGTTGAATAAAAATAAAAAAATTCACACCCATTGAAAGAAATTCTGTTCTACAAGTTGCACACCCTGGACTGGTCACCAGTCCATCGCTGGGCGACACAGAGATAAACAGAACAACCATTCACGCACACCCTCACACCTCTTTTACCCAGATGCACCACAGAGCTCCACAGGAAATCATTTCTGCCTGGGGTCATCAATCGCTACAACGGGAATCGAGCCCGAAACCTTCTTGCTGCCGTCACTATGTAGCCCAGCAGAGTCCTCTCTTGATGTAAATAGAGAGGGATAGCCCTCTGAAAAACACACCTTTACAGACAAGAAATGAAAATGAAAAGAAACAGGGTTGGATTTGATGCAGGAAGAATGTAGAAACTCTCTGCATTTAACCCATCCCCTTGGGAAGCAGTGGGCTGCCCCTGTGCGGCATCTGGGGATCACTGTAGGGTTAAGGGTCTTGCTCATAGAGCCAGCGTGCAGGCTGTGGGGATCGAACCGGGTACTTGCAACCTTCTCAGATCAGAAGCACACCTCTCTAATCACTAGGCCAACACTCCCCCAGGAGTAAAGGAAAAGGAAGAAGAGGATACACAGTAATCTAACCATTTTGTTTTTTGTGTGTTTAGCCCCAAAATGTCCGATAAGGCTTGGTCAAGAACTGAGATGAAATGCCTGAACACTCCTGGACACGACGACAGCTGCAGCTCCAACAGCAATGACTACCCCGACTATGGAAAGAAGGTTCCTCTGGATGGGTGAGGCTCATTTTGACATGTTCCAACATGCAGACTAAAGAAATAAAATTTTGGTTGAACACATTTTAAAACAAATCCTCTTCCTTCTATTAAAGGCCATGCTCCGATTTAGACGCAGCGAGTGAAAACTTCCTTATTGAACCCAACACAAGCAAGAAGAAATTTGAAACTGAATATGTAAGTTAAGGTGGATTCACTTTAAAACATCAAGTAAAGCTTTTTCAATTTATTTCTTTAACTTAACTTTTTTTGTCTCCTCAGCACCAGGGCAATGTCTCCTTTGGGATGTCAGTCTTCAACCTGGCCAGCGTCATGATGGGCAGCGGTATTTTGGGTGTGTCCTTCGCCATGGCCAACACCGGCATTGCCCTCTTTGTGTAAGCACACATATTTTCAAGTATTTAAAACCCTAATTGTGATCACAACTCTACATTCTACCAATGGGGAGTCCAAACACATGTCTTTTGCTTACCCACAAGTCCTGATGTGCCCAAGATCTTCAAGGTATACATAACACTGTTCAGTTAATATAGAGTTCAAAACAGACGACATGCTCAAAATCCACAGAAGAAAAAAACATTACTCATTGGAAAACAATATACTTTTCATGTTTATGAACAAAAAGTGCACAATAATGAAGAAAAAATAAAACAGAAGGATTCATGTTGGGTTTTTTTAACCTATTGATGGATCACTAATGAAAAGGCAGTTGTTCTGTATTATATTTACGCCAGAAATATTTAGGTCTTTTCAGTGAGGATGTGTTAAATGAGGAAGTTTCCCCTTTGGCTGGTCATTGTATCACTTGGTATCAATAAAAAAAAAAGCCTTGATTTGTTGTTTTTGATAAATTGGAATGCAAATTAGTAAACTACTTTGGCAATTTTTTTCTGTTTCATATATTTTTTTTTCCTCTTGTGTTTACAGGATTCTCCTGGCGTCTGTTGCCATTTTCTCCTTGTATTCTGTCCACCTATTGTTAAAAACAGCCAGTGAAGGAGGTGAGCAGCAGTTCAACTTTAAAAGTAGGTTTTTATGTTTGATCACATTAAGTTGTCAGATGTAAAACTTTTGGTAGTTTTCTCTTTTCCAAGGTACCTGTGTTTATGAGTCGCTGGGATACAAAGCCTTTGGGATGCTAGGAAAACTTGCAGCTTCCTGCTCAATCACCATGCAGAACATTGGAGGTAAGGGACTGATGTTTAAGTGGAAATATCTTTTTTATTAGAATTATACTCTGGAGCAGAGATGTAACTGCTCTGTACATTCATCATTAATGAGGTGTTTTTTAAGCTAAAATGCACAGCTGAATGAAAGCAGAGACCAGAATATCTCAGTAGATCATAGAGATGCTTCCAACAGACTGCCTCTTCTTTTAGCATTGGAATGTCTTTCCCTGACTTGCAGCTGGATACCCTGAAAAGAGCATTGCTTTCTTTTTAATAATATGTACTAATTGCTTTTATTTTGTTTTGTTTTACAGTCATGTCAACCTACCTCTTTATTATCAAATATGAGCTGCCCGTTGTTATTCAGACTTTTACTGGAGCAAATAATGGGTGAGTGGCTAAACTTTTGAAGCGATTTATAGCAACATTTAATACCAGCATTTTTAAGCTGCAAATAAATAATTTCAAACCTATTTAGTTGAATTGGTTATGAGTTTTTTTTTTTTATTATTATTAATAAAATAAAAAATCTAAAGAGAAGCATCATCTCCTGATCAGACCCTGTAATTCAGTGAAAGGTTGGAGTCAGGTTAAAAAAACTGCAGTGGCTGGAAGTTGGAGTTCATTTTCATGAGAGTTGCAGGGGAGAAGGCTGCCGTTCGGATGGTGTTTGACTGGAATGGGCCATTTTGAATGTTTGCTACTGTACAGGGAATTAATATAACTCATGTGTTGTAGAAGTGATTATAAAACATCCCCAGGAGTGGTACGGATTTAGATATGATCAATACAATATGTCTCCTAGCAGATGTCTTTATTTCATACTGAAAAAAAGTTTTACAGTAAACTGTACAAAATAGAAGCTGTCACTAAAAGTAAGCTACTTCAATGCTGGTACAGCATCGAGATAGTGAAGCACATTAATGTGGCTCAGCTCCTTTGAGCAGCTTTATTGTAGATGCTGCTCTATATCTGAGAGCGGTGCAGCTAACATTGTGCAGGACAATTTATGGCAGTGTTTGTTAGGTTTGTTGTTGCTGTCACTGCACCAGGTAAATTGTAAAATTGTAAGCATTGATGAGGCCTTTTAGAGGTGACCAGGTCACTCTAAGCATGACACACAGCAATAATATTTTATAAGAACAGACATGAATAATCAGGGGGTCCTTTAAATTGTTAAAAGGGGAAGATGGAGTAAAAAAACAGCATAATTGTCCTGTGACAATAACTATCTGCGATTACTAATGTTATTTCTTTGTGTATTTCAGTGAATGGTACATTAATGGAGATTACCTTGTTCTGCTGGTTTCGGTTATTATAATCCTGCCCCTCTCTCTGCTTAAGAATTTGGGTAAGGAGGGTGTGAGTTATACAATGTATTTCCTAGGTAATGATAATAATGGTTAAAGTGGCATGTCTAAACAGAGACTTATTCTTTTCTTTCTCTCTTAGGTCATCTTGGTTACACCAGTGGTCTGTCTCTTCTCTGCATGGTGTTCTTCCTGATTGTGGTGAGTATGGCTCCACCTTGTTTTGTTATTCCACCTGTAGCCCTTAGATTTAATGAATCATTCCACTAAAAAACTCCAAAAGGATCTATATAAATAGTAAAAGTGCAGCATAGAAACATGTTTTCCTATGCATTTCTGCAGGTGATTATTAAGAAATTCGAGATACCGTGCCCTTTGCCTCTGACTGATCATGTGAATGAAACCTTGCTGAACATCACCCACCACAGCGACAACACCACCACCGATGATGACACCTGCAGACCTAAATATTTTGTCTTTAACTCACAGGTAAATACGTCTATTTCTGCGAATCTTCTCAGTTATATTTGTTGAACTATTTGTAACCTTTGGATTCTTTTCATTTTTCCAGACTGTCTATTCTATTCCCATTGTTACCTTTGCCTTTGTGTGCCACCCTACCATCCTACCCATGTACGAGGAGCTCAAAGAGTAAGTCCTGTTTCTTGGGTGTAATATCAAAGTTTCTATAATATTTAAACCCATGTTATATTTCTACAAAATGGTGTCTAAGTAATACCTATTTTCCGTAAACAGCCGCTCACGCAGAAAGATGCAGAATGTTGCCAACGTGTCCTTCCTGGCCATGTTCATCATGTACCTGCTGGCCGCCCTTTTCGGATACCTCACCTTCAACAGTAAGTCTCTACAGAATTAAACCCTGACTCTCCTGTCTTGTAATTAAATGTGCCTAATTTTTGTCATAGAAGCAACAATGTATCAGAAACAAAGGAGATCCATGTCAACATGATAATGACAGACAGGTTTCTTCTTGACTTCAAAATCCTAATGCTGTTCCACTTACTTCTTCAGTGAGCTCTATTGCATTTAGATAGGAGATTCATGGAGGCTGTTGAACATGTTAAACCAGTTTACCAATAGCTATGTAACAATGAATATCATCCCGCTGAAATAAATGGCAGAAAATTGGTTTGGTATACTGTGGTCATAACCATTGGTTTATGACCAAGGCAAATATTTCTTCATATATATATATATATATATATATATATATATATATATATATATATATATATATATATATATATATATATATATATATATATATATATATATATATATATATATATATATATATATATATATATATATATATATATATATATACATACACGATGTTGTTCTCATCACATATAGATTTTCCATTAACTGCTCAGTCCTACTGATGAGGTAACTTTATCATGCAGATCAAAAAGAGACAGCTTGTAGAGTCAGGCTTGGTTACCTATTGTCACGGTCGAAGCAGAACATCACACAATAGAATTCATACATCTAAATTCTTCAATCCCATCTAATTATTCTCTTTGATAACATATCAAGTGAATCATGCTTCAGTATGTCTGATAAAGCATTTGCGGTATTAAATCTGTACAGTCCATGTGAAACCTGAACTGTTCCACACCTACTTCAAGTACTTCAAGCATGATGTCCTCCTGTTGGTGGTTCGTCTGGCTGTACTGGCTGCTGTCACACTCACAGTCCCTGTGGTGCTCTTCCCTGTAAGTGTCTGAGCTCTACTATCTATTATAGTCAACCAACAAAACAATGAAGTCCAGTGAACTAATTTTGGTTTGATTCTGAACAGATTCGTACCTCCATCAGCCACCTGCTGTTCTCAACCAAGGACTTCAGCTGGATCCGACACATTATTATCACTGTAATCCTGCTTGCAGGAACCAACACTCTGGTCATCTTTGTCCCCAGCATCAGAGATATCTTTGGCTTCATCGGTTAGTACCTGCATATATCTATAAGAATTAGTGTCTTGATAGCGAAGCATTATTGACCTCATGTGTTTAATTTTACCATTTGTCTTGTTTTCAGGTGCCTCTGCTGCTGCAATGCTCATCTTCATCCTGCCCTCAGCTTTTTATATCAAACTTGTCAAGAAGGAGTCAATGATGTCAATGCAAAAGATTGGGGTAATTTATAAATTAGCAGACATTTTCTTTACCCATTCTTAATATCTATTTTCAGAAATAAGCTATACATAATTCACAGTGACATTACTTCCTTTTCCAGGCCATATTGTTCCTGATATTAGGATTCTTTGTCATGTTTGGCTGCATGACTCTGATCATTATGGACTGGATCTCCAACAGTGAGGTCGCCGATCAGGGCCACTGATGCTCCAGCTCTTCTGCTTGCGAGACACTGAAACACAGATTTTCTTTCAAGCTTGTTTTCTATACTGCCAAAATAGTGGTTTCCTAGAGATCATACAGTTTGTCATTTTTGAAAAAAACTGGTCATAAGACCTTCCTACCGGCCGGCGGTGAGAGCATTGACCACTCTCACTGCATGGATTCTACAGCTTCATAGCTCTTTCCTTTCATGTAAATTATTTTCTTCAAAAGGACTGTAAAATATACTGGTATTTATATATATATATTTGTTTCGATTAATATAATAAAAAGGAGCATTTTAATGACTTTTGACACTAAATAAATGACCTTAATGCCTTAATTTGATATTCTTTTCTACTTTGCGTGCTTTCTCTAAGAATTGATTAAATGAGGTATAATTCACAGAGCTGATTCTCTTTGCTTATTACATTTAATGCTGTTATCTTTTCTTAAAATATTTAGATAACTTTTCTGCTTTAGTGAATTGAAGATGAGTGAGACTTGCCTTAATACAAAGTTATGTCCACAATTCTAATCTTTTAGCTGGTGCTCAAAATAATTCAAATTAAGGGTTTCTTAAAGATCAGGTGAGAAACTTAGCAGATCAGGATATTGTTTTAGCTGATATACATTATATGAAACAAAATTGATCCACATTTATTTCAATAAACCACATAGTCAGATTTAATCAAGTCTCATAATGTGACCTAAGCTGGCATATAAGAGAAATCAATGTTTAAAGCAGGGGGTCTCCCTTTCTTCTAAAAACACAACTGCCCAGTGGATCAAGTTTGAAATTTTAATTCATTCTGTTTCTTTTCTTTATTAAAGCACACTTACATTTATAGAGATTTCAAAATGACAATATCTAAAATATTTTCACTGATGCCTCCAGTTCATAGGTCAGCATCGATAGCCCTTCCTATGACTGGCCATGGTTACTGAGGTCAGACACACCTGGATAATCAGTTCATCAAGTAATAAAAGACAGGAAACAAAAGACCTGTCCTAAGTTCAGGAAGTAGTGGATTTGTGCATAGAGCCCATAGAAAATATTTAATGCTAATGTTTAGTATAATTAATGTTTAGTTATCACCACCGGCAATAACCCCCCACAGTGGAATGTTTTTGTAAGTTTTTTAATAGGAGAATATTTTCAACACACCCACAAAAAAACAGTTTGTAATCTATCAGTTAAACTGGTCCTAAACTCATATGTGTATGTAGTTAATTGCAAAGTTAAATAGGCAATATTAACTCCAGTTATTACAGTTAATACTGTGGTTTAAGCCGCCACTACATCTAGGGAAGTAAGAATATCTTTATTGATCTCACTTCTCTTCTCAGCTGTTTCCCCAAAATGAAGCACAAGAGAAAGAAATTTCCACTTTTCATTTTTACTGCAACAATCTTAATCATAATCGGCCCAATCGTCAATCTTCTTATGGTTTATCTTCTAATAGTATATCTTCAACTCTTAACTCATGGGCCAAACTTATTTGGCACATCAGCTTAGTAAACTTTTTTTTTATGAGGTAATATTTGGTTTAAAACTGATTAAGAGCAATATCTGGTATGTTTTTAAAACTTTTCACAAGGTAATACAGAAGTGATAAGAAGAATAAGTGATAAGAAAAATGTTGCCCTCTGTTAATTAATCTTGATTATAAAATCTCTTGTTTTGGATAACAATGGTTATTTAAACTCCAATGTTTGCAGCAGGTTGTTTAGCTGGAAGCCCATATTGTAGTTTTCTTGTAACTGTCAACTGGACTGTTGGGGAGGCAAACAAAAACACAGAGGAGGAGGAGTAGAAGTTTAGCCGAATCAGAGAAGGAAAGAGACGTATGCCAGCAGGTGGAGTTCCAACGTCACCAATACTGTTTGCACCAGCAGATCTAACAGAATTAATACTCTTATTCTTCTCACAAGGAAACATTAAACCCTTACAGCAGCATTTATATGGGATAGGAATTAGGTAGCCTACAGGAGTGCTAAAATATAAATATGTTTTCATAAATCTTGCTATAAGAAGATAGCATGTGTTGTCATTACAATATAAAAAAAGTAAAAATAAAAATAAAAACATTTGTTTTATATAGCATTAATTTAATCTTCGTGGATTCTGATGCCCAAGAATGTTAGGACCATATTTCCGCTCACTTATGCTCAAGCCCTGTCAATGATATCATAATTGTGACAGTCCTCCTTGCTGGGAACAAGGCTCTCTGTGCATAGTTTAGGTCTTGATCTCCATCATAGTTGGGTATAACAACCACATGGTTTTTTGTTTAGAGTTGCAACACAGCTTCTTCAGAGTCATGTGTCTTTTTCTCAATGATAAACCAAAACAAAAACCAGCTTGTTTTCAGTTGAAACACAAACCGGTAGAGGAACACAGGCCAAACACACAATGTGTTATCCGCGAATAGGTGTGATAAAATTCCAACATTAAATAAGCTGCAGCAACCTATGACAACATATTAAATATAGATGAGTATGCCATGATTGTGTCAGCCTATATCAACAAATTCATTGAGGACGTCAGCATCTCAAAGAACATCACCATCCGTGCAAACTAAAGATCCTGCATGAATGGGGAGGTTCAGAGATCAGTAAAAGCCTGGAACTCAGCTTTCAAATCTGGTGATAAATAGGCACTGAGGACATTACATGCAATATTGAATAGATCAGTGAAGCAGAACCACAGCCAGAAAATCCAGGATATTTTAAATGACGCCAGCAACACCCAGGAGGATGTGGAAAGGCATATGGGCAATTACAGACTACAACTACAGCAGGAAAACTGGAACAGATTGGGTTCAAAACAGCCCTCTGCAACTGACTGTTAGACATCCTCAAAAACAGTCCTCAGTCACTCCGGGGTGACAGAACACCTCTGATGTCATCAGTCTAAGTACATGCTCCCCTCAGGCCTGTGTCCTGAGCCCACTGCTGTTCACCCTGATGACACATGGCTGCGTCCCCAGATTCACCACCAATCACATCGGGACATTCGCAGATGAAACCACAGAAGTAGGACTCATCAGAGACGACAACAGCCAGGACTACAGAGAGGAGGTGGAGAAGCTGGTGGACTGATGCAGAGACAACAACCCGATCCTAAATGTGGTGAAAATGAAGGAGATCATCTTGGACTTTAGGAAGAACCGGCCAAACCACACTCCACTGGTCATCAACAGCTCAGCTGTAGAGGTGGTGAACAGCAGCAAATTCCTGGGGGTGCACATCACAGACACCCTCACCTGGAATGTAAGCACCACCTCACTGGTCAAAAGGGCACAGAAGTGCATGTACTTCCTGCGGAGGATGAGGAGAGCCTACCTGTCCCCACCCATCCTCACCACCTTCTACAGAAGCACCATAGAGAGAGTTCTGACCAGCTGTCTCACTGTGTGGTGTGGAGGCTGCAGCGCCTCAGACTAGAAGAAGGTGAGGAGAGTTGTGAGATCAGCAGAGAGGATCATCGGGGCTCCTCTTCCCTCCATTAAAGACATTTCATCCCAGCGCTGCATTTCCCGAGGCCCATAACATCATCAATGTCCCCTCACACCCCCACCATGGACTGTTCTCCCTGCTGCCCTCTGGGAAGAGGCTTTGCAGCATTCAATGCAGGACCAGGAGATTTCAAAACAGCTTCTTTCACACCACCACTAGACAGCTGAACTGTTAAAAAAAACTAAAACCAAAAAGCTAAATGTTGAAAAAAAACATATCAATGCGGTTTTTTTTTTGCACCATGTTTTTTCTCCCAATTTTTACATTTGATCACTGCAGCACTTCAAGTCATGAGATCTTTGCAAACCACTCTGTATATACAATGTGACAATAAAGTTTGTCTAAGTCTTATATGGTGTCTGACAATAATGCCTACTGTCCTGTTATCAGTATCAATACTTTTTTTTTTAACCAGACAATATTCCTTTCAATTCAGTATGGTGGTGGTAGCATCATGCTATGGGGACGCATTTCCTCAGCAGAAACTTCCAGACTAGTCAGGAAAGAGGGAAAGAGGAATGAAGAGACATTTTGGCTGGAGACCTGCTCAATACTAACTTTTCTAAGGATTTCTTTATAACTTTGTACTCAATAATTTTTCTGTCTATCAGGGAATCTTATTCTCTCCTGTTTACTCCCATAGAATCAGAAGTGTGGCCTAGTGGTTAGGGCATAGTGCTTGGAATCCTGAGGTTCTGAGATCAAGCCCCACACTGGCTCTATGAGCAGAACCCTTTACCCCACACTGCTCCCTGGGCGCCACACAATGGCAGCCCACTGCTCCCCAAGGGGATGGGTTAAATGCAGAGAGTTCATTTGTTGATCTGTGACAAAAAAGCTGGGGGAAAAAACAACATAAAAATGATAAAACTTTGGAGGAGCAGCATGGAGGCAGAAGAAGGAGGAAGAGACTGTGACCAGGAGCTGAGAGCTTGGATCTGTAAAGCAGGTAAGAGGTAGATCTTCCAGGGGACCAAAGAACATCAACTGCAATAGAAAACAACAGAAAGCTAGGATGACAAAGGGACGTGAGATGTATAAATGGGAGACTGAGCAAAGACCAGGCTAATCAGCAGATTGGGAGCAGGTGGGGGCAGAGGAGTCTAGAAGGGAGCCTAGGGAAAAAGAGATTGACACAATAGGGCAGCAGAGGGCAAACAATACCTAAGAACCCAAATACAATCGAAAATAACAAACACAAAATGGAAATGAAACCAACAAACTAGAAAACAAAGAAAGACATCAATTAAAGTATAACTGGAAACTCAAAAAAGAAAACAAACCAAACCAAAATTTGCAAAGTCATTAAACAAACAACAAGGCAAATTAATCAAATAATAATGGACATTCCTTATACCTCTATCCAAATTGTTTAAAGAAGATAGCTGCAGGTTTAACTAATTCTAGCCAGTTGGCTGCATGTTCGCTCTTGCCTGCTGGTTACCAGGTTTTGCTAATGCTAACCTTTTGTCAGACCTGACCTACTAAAGTTTAACATGCCTACATCTAAAAGATTAGATGTAAGCATTAAGAGCTGATAACTGTGGAGTTTGTCTGGATTTATTTATTTGTTTCACATTAAATTTG